GCCCGATGCGGGACTCGATCCAGGGACTCCAGGATCATGACCTGAGCCGAAGGCAGTTGCTTAACCAACTGAGCCACCCAGGCGTCCCTGAGTCTTTTGATGGGCAAACATTCTTACTTTTAGTTAAACTTATTAAATTTTATTATATAATCAGTTCTTTCATGGCTCATTTAGGAAATCTTTTGCTACTGTGAAGTCTAAAAGATATTTGAATACCTAAAAATATCTAAAATATATCTTCTAAAGTTTTGTTTTTAAATTGAAGTCCTTCATCCATCTGGAATAGGATTTCCGTATATAGTGTTGAGACAAGGATCCAATTTCATCTTTTTCCTGGTGAGTAATCAGGTCCATTTATTGCATGTTCCTTCTTTTCCCCACTGACCTGACTTGCCACTTTTGTTAAGTACCAAAGTTCCATACATGTGTGATCTGTTTCTGAGCTTTCTCTCTCTTTTTTTAAAAGATTTTATTCATTTATTTGACAGAGAGAGAGAGAGCACAAACAGGGGGAGTGGCAGGTGAGCAGAGAGCCAGGACCCCGGAATCATGACCTGAGCCGAAGGCAGACACTTAACCAACTGAACCACCCAGGCGCCCCTGACCTCTCTCTTTTTTTATAAAAATGATTTTATTTTTAAGTAATCTCTACACCCAACATGGGGCTTGAACTCAAACCCCGAGATCAAGAGTTGCATGCTCTTCTGACTGAGACAGCCAGGCGCCCCTCTTTTCTAAAACTTTATAATAAGCCCTGACGTCTCCCCATGCCTCTATTTCCAAGCCCCTGCTGTTCTTCAGAAATATCCTGGCTATCCCTGGCTCTTCGCTTTTCCATATACATTTTAGAATCACCTTATTATAGTTCTATGGAAAAATTCCTGTAGATTCTGATCAGAATTGCTTTGAATCTACAGATCAATTTGGGGGAAGCAGATTTTTTTTTCCCTCCTCAAACAGCAGAAATTTATTTTCTCACAGTTCTGGAGGCCAGAAGTTTGAGATCAGGGTGCCAGCATCATAGGGTTCTGGTGAGAGCCCGCGTCCTGGCTTGCAGACAGCTGCCTTCTTGCTGTGTCCTCACATGGCAGAGAAAGAGCGAAA